TCATGTTGGGACAGTCGCAAGCCCAGTAACTTCAGAGTTAGGACGGCTCTCCGTGTCTGTTCTAGAACCACTCATCTTTCTCAAAATGTGGTTTCCATTAGGCTACTCTCATCCTCAAGCGTTCCCTAAGGCATAATGATAAAGCCCAGCCCCTGCACAGTCCCATCTTAACAGCCAGACCTCCTGCTACTCCCTGAGAGAACCTGTCTGCTCTGGCTACCATTCTCTCGCTGGAATGCTACCATTTTCATTCCCACCCCTTCGGTCATTGCAGGAGTGATTACCTTCCTCTTTCTTCCTCTCCCATAGCACTCATCACCCTCCTCCCTAGTTGTCTCAGATTACACAGCCTTCAAAATCCACTTGCACTTGCCCCCCCCCTTCAAGAGCACCCATCATTCCACTGCCTAGAGCTCACTGCTTCCTTGGTTCCCCTCTGGAATTCTACTGTCTGCCCACTGACTCAGTACTGGACCACTGCTGCCTTTGATATGTCTTTATATTAATATTCTAACCTGGAGCGATGTATCTTACCTCCTCAACCAGGTCAAAATCTCTTTCAAAAGAAGGACCTGTCATGGCAGTACACACACATCACTGGCCTCCAGTAAATATTTCAGGAATAAACAGTTATTGGAGTATCTGCTTTTGGCTCCTTAACTCTGAATATGGAAGTTGGTAACAAAGAGAGTATCACCCCAGTCACAGAAGAGGCAAATTCCTGCAAAATTAACCAAGTACCTTTCTATGAATAATATCCTTCACGTCATATGTGCTATGTGTCTTATATGTTACACACATATACATGGTTAAATTCCATGAGAAAGGTGAAGATGATTGAAATGGGAAAAATGTTTCACCCTAAGATTCAAAACCAAATTTAAGAACTTCAGAAGGCAGTCAATTTTTTTCAATCACCTATTAAAAGGAAAATGGTGATTTTTTTGAAAAAGGATCTTAGTACCCAAAATAAGTCACAGACAATAAACCCTAGTAACCTAATATTTTAGGGAGCTATATTCACAAGAAGGAAAAAACATGCCCTGTGGCATGCCCCCATGGCCCCACCTAAGGCCCCTGCAAGCCTTTTACCTACTTCTAAAATCACCCCCATCCACTCCAGTCATGGTCTTTAACAGCCTCAGGCAGGGCCATTATCATGGTATTGGTGCTTATTTCCGAAAGCAGGTTTCCTTTCTGCAGGTTGTTCAGATGCCAACCTCAGAGTTTCTTATACATGAAGAAATGAGGAAGCAGTGTAGCGGCGTGCTTGCCTCCAGTTTTGTTTTGGTTTTGGTTTTTCATTTTGACTCTAATCCAGACACCCTCATCCGTGCAGAAATGCAGCCTAGTCATAGCCTGGCACGATGAGTGGACACAGGTGTGTGGGGACTGCCTGTGTGCGTGGGACAGGAATCCAGGGAGAGGAAGAAAACAGTGGGCAGCAGTGGCACTGGCTGATCCTGATGTGAGGCAGGAAGTGAACCTTCCTCTTCCCATTAGCACCTGGATCCCCTTTTC